GCATGCATTAGGGTTTAAACACTCGGACATCTATTCGAAACCTCTTACAATATGGCAGATATGTAATTATGGTGTTTGCTTGGCATTTCTCTTGCATTAGGGTTTAAACATTCAGACACTTATTCGGACCTTCTTGCATGATGGCAGATTTGTAATTATGATGTTTACTTGCCATTTCACATGCATTATATTTCGAACAATAGAGCACTTATTCGGACCCTCTTGAAAGATGGTATTTATGTAATTATGGTGTTTACTTGCCATTTCTCATGCATTAGGGTTTATACACTCGGACACTTATTCGGACCCTCTTGTATGATGTCAGATATGTAATTATGGTGTTTACATGTCATTTCTCATGGATTAGGATTTTAACAATCGGACACTTATTCGGACCCTCTTGCATGATGGCAGCTATGTAATTATGGTGTCTATTTTCCATTTCTCATGCATTAGTGTTTAAACACTCGGACACTTATTCGGACCTTGTTGCATGATGGCAGATTTGTAATTATGATGTTTGCTTGCCATTTCTCAAGCATTAGGGTTCGAACACCGGGACACTTACTCGGACCCTCTTGCATGATGGTAGATATGTAATTATGGTGTTTACTTGCCATTTCTCATTCATTAGGGTTTAAACACTCGGACACCTATTCGGACCCCCTTGCAGAATGGCAAATATGTAATTCTGGTATTTACTTGCCATTTCTAATGCATTAGGGATTAAACACTCGGACACTTATTCGGACTCTCTTGCATGATGGAAGATATGTAATTATGGTGTTTACTTGCCATTTCTCATGCATTAGGGTTTAAACACTCGGACACTTATTCGGGCCCTCTTGTATGATGACAGATATGTAATTATGGTGTTTACTTTCCATTTTTCAAGCATTAGGGTTAAACACTCGAACACCTATTCGAAACATCTTGTAAGATGGCAGATTTGCAATTATGGTCTTTCTTTGCCATTTCTCATGCATTAGGGTTTAAGCGCTAGGACACTTAATCGGACCCTCTTGTATGATGGCCGATTTGTAATTATGTTGTTTACATGTCGTTTCTCATGCATTAGGCTTTTAACAATCGAACACTTATTCGGACCCTCTTGCATGATGGCAGATATGTAATTATGGTGTTTGCTTGCCATTTCTCATGTATTAGGGTTTAAACACTCGGACACTTATTCGGACCTTCTTGTATGATAGCAGATATGTAATTATGTGTTTACATGTCATTTCTCATGGATTCGGGTTTTAACAATCGGACACTTATTCGGACTTTCTTGCATGATGGCAGATATGTAATTATGGTGTTTACTTTCCATTTCTCTTGCATTAGGGTTTACACACTCAGACATCTATTCGGAACATGTTGCAAGATGGCAGATATGTAATTATGGTCTTTACTTGCCAATTCTCATGCATTAGGGTTTAAACACTCGGACACTTATTCGGACCCTCTTGTATGATGGCCGATATGTAATTATGGTGTTTACATGTCGTTTCTCAGGCATTAGGGTTTTAACAATCGGACACTTATTCGGACCCTCTTGCATGATGACAGATATGTAATTATGGTGTTTACTTGCCATTTCTGATGCATTAGGGTTTAAACACTCGAACACCTATTTGGACCCTCTTGTAAGATGGCAGATACATAATTATAGTGTTTATTTGCCATTTCTCATGCATTAGGGTTTAAACACTCGGACACTTATTCGGACTCTCTTGCATGATGGCAGATATGTAATTATGGTATTTACTTGCCATTTCTCATGCGTTAGGGTTTAAACACTCGGACACTTATTCGGACCCTCTTGTATGATGGCAGAGATGTAATTATGGTCTTTACTTGCCATTTCTCATGCATTAGGGTTTAAACACTCTGACACTTATTTGGACTCTCTTGCGTGATCGCAGATATGTAATTATGGTGTTTACTTGCCATTTCTCATGCATTAGGGTTTAAACACTCGGACACTTATTCGGACCCTCTTGTATGATGTCAGATATGTAATTATGATGTTTACATGTCATTTCTCATGGATTAGGATTTTAACAATCGTACACTTATTCGGACCCTCTTGCATAATGACAGCTATGTAATTATGGTGCCTAATTTCCATTTCTCATGCATTAGGGCTTAAACACTCGGACACTTATTCGGACCTTGTTGCATGATGGCAGATTTGTAATTATGATGTTTGCTAGCCATTTCTCAAGCATTTGGGTTCGAACACCGGGACACTTATTCGGACTCTCTTGCATGATGGTAGATATGTAATTATGGTGTTTACTTGCCATTTCTCATGCATTAGGGTTTAAACACTCGGACACCTATTCGGACCCTCTTGCAAAATGGCAGATATGTAATTCTGGTATTTACTTGCCATTTCTCATGTATTAGGGTTTAAACACTCGGACACTTATTCGGACCCTCTTGCGTGATGGAAGATATGTAATTATTGTGTTTACTTACCATTTCTCATCCATTATGGTTTAAACACTCGGACACTTATTCGGACCCTCTTCTATGATGGTAGATATGTAATTATGGTGTTTGCATGTCATTTCTGATGCATTAGGGTTTTAACAATCGGATACTTATTCGGACCCTCTTGCATGGTGGCAGATATGTAATTATGGTGTTTACATGGCATTTCTCATGCATTAGGGTTTAAACACTCGGACACTTATTCAGCCCCTCTTGCATGATGGCATATATGTAGTTATGTTCTTCACTTGCCATTTCTCATGCGTTAGGGTTTAAGCACTCGAAAACTTATTCGGACCCTCTTGTATGATGGTTGATATATACACTACAACAAAAAGTATAATTAATAACATTTGTTTATAGCATTTTTTTATGAATGTTATAAAATAAAAGGTATACATAACATTTTTTAATAAAATGCTGTAAAATATTTTTGAATAATAACATTTAATTTTTTATAGCAATTTTTTATATTTTAATAGCAATTGAAAACCAATATTAAAGGTTTCCTAAGTATGGAACTTCGTTCTACAGATATAGCAAAGAAAGAATGCTATTGAAACCTGAAAGAAAAAAGGCGCTCTAAATTTGCCGCGTTTTTTCCATTCAGTTTCCATCTCTTGCACGACCCCTCTCTTGCGTTGTATTTCTTCCACATATAATCGCAAATCGAGCATGCAAAAAAACCCTAGAAAACACTTGGAATTTGTTTCAAGTTTTTGCGTTTGATTTGGCAAGTTTGTGTCTCCGATTGGACGAGTTGGTTGATTTACTGGATCAGAGTTGTAAGGAGTTGAAGCTCTGTTATTCATCGTTGAAGTTTCATAGGTAATTTGATGTTTTATGTACTTCTTTCTCTTTGGGTCATTTTTTTTTTCCCGAAAAATTGAACCAAAAAAAGAAGAAGAATAATAAGAAGAAACACTCAGTGCTCTGTTATTTTGGATGATTTGGTTTTAATTTAGTAAGAAGTACATTCTCTGATATATTGCACTAGTATATATTATTATGCCTCTTAGGTGCTTGATAAAATGCCACAAAGAGTGGCTGAACTTGTATACTGTTTTCTTATGAGTTTTTTTAATATCTGTATTAGTATCTATATCTATATCTATATTTATATATATGTACACATAAAGATAACCACTATATTTGAAATTTATCATGTTATTATATATGAGAACTCACCAAGGAGATGAAAAGTTTGGTGAAACAAAAATGTTATATATAGAAGCCATCACAAAAAAAAAAAAAAGGATTCTGGATTTTTATTTTTCTTCTGTTTTCAAAGAAAAAAAATTATGGTTTATGGTAAAATGGCAATAACATTGGCTAAAAGTAGATACTATATCAGTGCATTATATTTTATGTCAACATTTCCAACCATTTGTGAAGTTATGTGTGAGTTTTTCTTCTATCCATGCCGTCATTAAAAACACGATGGGTAAAAGAAAATGGGTAGGTGAGTAAGGATTTTTGGCCTATTGATATAGCAATACTATGTAGTTTGAGGTTGTTGTTTAACTTTTATGGAGTATAGTTCGATCGGGTTACATGTAGTTCTTCATGTGATTGTTATTGAGTTTGGAAATTGTTGACTTTAAAGATATTGTTGGATTTTGAATCATTATTTGAAATTAATCTATGACCGATTGAACCAAAAAAAAAAAAAGGTATGTGATTTAACTCCAAATAAACTGTATTTGGATATGTAAATTTGGATTTGAAAATGAAATTAAAATTTATAGATTTAAATTGATCTCAAGGTATGGGAACTTAATTAATATTCAAAACTCTCTTTGTAAGAGTTAAACTGATTATACCTGAGCAATTATGGACCTTTTATTAGATATTAGTTAACAGCAGCAACAAGCACTCGGATGGACACATCTACACCCAATCTGCCGCTACAAACTGTCATAAACTGTAGAATTGAGAACTAGCAGCCAACTCTTATATACAAGCTCAACCAAGAAATGAGAAAATAGAACTGCAAACTGACCTCTCCCTCTTACAATATCCATAATTTAGAAAGTCAGTTTGTATGGTTTCTTAATATAGAAGGTCAAAAGGATACTTGACAATAGTTTAAGGGATCACTGTGTAAATACCCTTCTTTTTTTTTGGGTCCAAAAGTTGAAAGAACCAGGGTTCAAAAACGTGCACTTAAACCAAGTAGAATGTTCTGAATTTTTCTTGGTACGATTTTTTCTTTTTAAACTGTATAGTGATCAAGTACACCAACCATATAACCGTTAGCTTCCCACCATGACTATCGTTGAAACACTTGAGCCAAAAAGTTCATAATACCACTTATTATGCCACTACACCCTACTACTCGAAGAAACTCATTACCCCACACCAAAACAAATATACACATATACGATAATTCTATACCATATGTATATATATACCACCTACTATCTTTTATAAGTCCTACAACAAGATGTTAATTATTATTACCATTTGTTTTGAGAGATAGAGGAGTGATTGAAATTGAGATGGAGGTAAAATTTATTAATATTGTATTAGTGTTTTAATGCTATGGAATATATGTATCATATACACTGTTAGTTACACATTTTTAAAAATTTTAACATTATTAGAAAATATGTAATTTTATTTATGAAGTACAAATTATGTATCAAAAAACAATCCGTAATATTCGTCACAAATGATGCAAGAAAAAAATGCAATATTTGCCTCAAAAAATAAGTAAAAAAAGTTATATATGATACACAACTACTTAATATTTATTATAAAAATACATAACATATATTACAAAAATATGTAAAAATTAGGATTGTACACGGATCGGATTGATCAAGTTTTAGAGTAAATTAGGAACCGAACAGTAGGAACTAGTATATATATATATATATGTGCTGCAAACTGATAAGGAACCAAACAGTAGGAACAATAGGAACACGGATCGGATTCTTCTATGTCTTGCTCTTTATCACAATTGGTCGATCAAGTAGTTTGACATATCTAATGCTTTCCTTCATGGAGTTCTTGAAGAAGAGGTGCATATGTTGCAGCCTCTTGGCTTTTTCATCCTACTCAATCCACTCATGTCTGCAAACTTCACAAGGCCTTATATGGGCTCAAACAAGCACCTAGAGCCTGGTATTGCACCTTCTCTGCATTTATTCTATCTCAGGCGTTTTAGAATAGTAAATGTGATTCATTTGTATTCATTCAGAAGTCTGATAGCACTATTACTGTGCTTTTAATCTATGTTGATGACATATTACTCACAGGAAATAATGATGCTCATATTACCTCTCTTATTGCTCATATGCATGAGGTTTTTTCTATGAAAGAATTGGGTCCTGTGTCCTATTTCTTGGGCATTTCAGTTCAAGCTATTGCTACTGGTTATACAGTTTGTTAACAAAAGTATGCTCATGACATACTTGTGCGAGCTGGATTAGCTGAATGCAAGCCCTGTTCTTCACCTATGTCTGTCAAGGCTAGTCTCACTAGTTCTTTCACTGAATTGTTTGACAATCCGTCTCTTTATCGCAGTATAGTTGGGGCTTTGCAGTACTTAACTATCACCAGACCTACCATCTCCTTTACTGTTAATCAGTTGTGTCTACATATGCATGCCCCCAACTTGGGTCATTTTCTGCTGTTAATCAGTTGTGTCAGCTTCTGTTCCTATATATGTCTATTAGAGATATTAGATATTTGTTAGAGTTAGATATTAGTTAGAAGATTGGTTAGAAGTTTGTTAGACAAGCTGTTAGATAGTTAGACAGTCATTATACAAATGTCTATATAAACAATAATGTAGCTACAATACAATTATTGAATAAAGAATTGAGGAGTTCATCTTTTTTTCATTGTGATGAAGAGCAAGACAAAGAAGAATCTGAATACAGTAGCAGTTGAAGTCACAGCTTATGTTGCTACAGTCTAAGACATTAGTACCACCACTATATCAGCAGCACTCACGCCCATCTCACAGCTGCAGCTTCAGATCTAGCTCAGTTTCTGTTCCTATATCTGTTTATTAGAGATATTAGATATTTGTTAGAGTTAGATATTAGTTAGATATTTCCAGACTAAAATCAATCAAGTTTCTGTCAATGATCTGGTTACATAACCTGCATCAGGTTCCAAGATGCCTGGATTAGTAGGCTTACAGTAACAACTTCAGTGGTCTAGTACATAAATCTATTGGGATGGTCTGATTCTTATTCTGTTCTGTTCTAGCTTTCTGGGTGAGCAGCTGCTGCTTTGTGTCATTAATCCTGGTTATTGCCTTGGTTCTGGCCCTGGCGAGCAGCAGCAGCAGTATTGGGTTTGGTTGGAGAGCTCCTGAGAAAGTTGTTACTCTTGTATAGTTGCCTACTGCTGTGTGTACAGAGGTGTCACACAGGGGAGGTTAACTGCTAGCTGCTGTTTTGTACTACTATTGCTGCTGTTTTATTATAGAAAGAACAGTTGTAGTTACAGAGAAGAAAGTTGGACTAGGAGGGTAGAAGATCTGTAAAGACCTGCATCTGCAATCTGCCATAGGCTGTAGAGTAGAGAAAAGTAGGATATTAGCCAACTTTTCGATGCAGGCCTCAACCTAGAACCAACCTAGATACACCTCAAAAAAGCACATAGCTAGCCAATGAGACTTCAATACCCTGGATATGGAGAAAATGAGACCATAACAAAGAGGGACAGATCAACCTGCAAGTATACATGAACCCTTTTTTTGGGTGAATAAGTCATAAATAAAAACAAAGAGCTCACACAACTAGAAGGGGCATAAGAGGCATACCGCAGGCCCTACACCACCACTATACATGAACAAAAACTAGCCAAAAGCTACACAAAGGCAAGAGAAAGCAAACAAAAAATAAAAATAACAACCAAAAATATACAGCCCCAATACACAAACACTAGGGACTAGAGTTTTCTCTAAGCTATGGAAAACATTCCAAACGAAACTGAGAAGACTTAGACCAAAACAAGCTGCACATCAGATTTGGATCCTTTTAATGTGTTCAGGGTCCCCATACCAGCTGTATGTGGACCATGAACTCACCCCATAATCCTAAAAGCTAAATCAATGTCAACACAAAGATACGAGTATTTTCCCTTGCACAGCCTGCAAGGGTAGGCCACAAAATATTCACCTGAACATCAATACTAGTATAGACTAAATAAGAATGACTTTTACAATCAAAATTAAAGGATTTCTTTACACTTGAGGCGCTTAGAGCAGCCATCATCCCTTGCTGCCAGATTCCTAATTCCAGAGGACAAATTGCCCGCAAGTGTTCCCAGTGGCAGAAGACATCCAACAAACATTTTATGTAACCCTTCTTTCCAGCAACAGACTTGAAACAAACACGCAACCCGATACATGAATTCCTATCACAGCTAAGAACCAATGCTCTATGCCATCGGCAAGAAAAAGCTTTACATACGAACCACAAACAGCCCACATTATATGAACTCACATCACTCAACCCATAATATGAGACCTCACTACACTCTAGAAATGTTGACAGCAAGCAACTTGCAAGATAGAACAACAATTCATAAACACGTAAACAAGTTAGCAACAAAACTCTCTCAATATGGGCAGTGAAAGGTATGTGATTTAATGTCCTCCCTACACTCAACCCTCTATGATATGGTCTAGCTCCCAGAACAGCACCTTTTAACCTGCACATTAACCATACAATTAGATAACACTCTATTTATGCTCCCATTCACTCAACCCACTTGAAGTGATCTCACATCCCTAAAAACTCTTCTAATCGAATCCAGAGAGGTAACTCTATTCTTCAAAATTGAATCTGGCAACCTCCATGTCTCCAGAAACAACCTATCACTTTGATTACTATTTAGGTTAGTAACAGAAAACATTCGAAATCAAACCATATCAATTATTTGCTTAATAACCACCTCCTCGGGGAGGAACTCCCCATTAAAAAATCTGTTATTTCTGGTCATCCACAATTGGTAAACTGTGCAATTAAAAACCAATCTGGAAATGACCGACACGAGGGATTTACCCCAAATTTGTTGAGACAGAAGCTGAACTAGCTCAAACCATGGCAGATCTGGCCAAGAAACATTTAACTTTATTTTCATGACATTCCACACTCTATCAGAGAAAGGGCACTGGAAAAACAGGTGGTTGTGATCTTCATAAGGGTTATGGCAAACATATTAGTTTAGTTATTTATTTATTTTATGTATTTTTATTTGATTTGGATATTGCTTTGCTGTTTATTAGAACTATATTTGTTTTATGAAAATTCATGTATATTATGATTCTTTTTCTTTATTGCATTCTTGTTTTTTTTTTACTCTAATCATATGATCTTCTCATTATACATGACCATTTATAGGCAATTTTATATTTTTTCGTTCTTATGAAAGTTAAGACAATGGAATTGATGCCTATAAGACACTTTTAAAATATTCATTACAGTTATCACAAAATGTCTCAAACCTTAATATAGCCTTGGTGTAGCATTGCCTACAACTAAAATTCATAAAGGTCATGTTCGAAGACCTGTATGTTTATGTATCATAGTTTATTAAGAAATCCCTATTTTCACTATTTAGATGCACTTCTATTTGTGTGAAATTTCTATGCACTTCTATTTGTGTGAAATTTCTCCACCTTTCTGATCTAAGCAACTATATGTATTACTTGGCCATATTAGGAAAACAGTTACTTCGCGATTAGTGATGGAGAAAGATTGGGTACATCTTAATAGGTAATGAAAATTATATTTGGAACCTATTGTGCTTAAAATATTCATTCTCAAATGTTTTGATAAATTTGGACTTTGAATGGTAAAATAGAACTACATATGAATACATGAAAGCAGCATGGAATTTTGTGGACATGGCTAAAAGGAATGCAGGGTATCCAGAGAAGATTATATGTCCTTGTAAAGATTGTCGAAACTTAAGTCACCATTGTATTGAGGTTGTGTATGAGCATTTGGTCATAAAGGGAATGGATGAAACTTATACAAATTGGTTTCATCATGGAGAACAACCACATGTCAGTGATAAACCTGATATGGAAATGTTAGGCTCATACAATTTATTTAAAGCTGCATGTGCGCGAGATGACAATTATGAAAAATCTGTTGACGAAAGTGGGGATGAGGATTTTTTCAAATTACTGGAAGATGCAGAAACTCCATTATATTTAGGTTGTGAAAAATACACAAAGTTGTCAGCAATTGTAGCTCTTTACAAGCTCAAAGCTGTAAATGAATGGTCTGATAACAGTTTTAATAAACTTCTGGAGATATTACATGATATGTTACCAATGGGAAATGTCATTCTGAAGTCTGTATACTCTGTGAAAAAATTTGTCAAAGCATTTGATTTAGGATATGAGAAGATCCATGCTTGTGTGAATGATTGTTGTTTGTTTAGAAAAGAGAATGCTGAAATGGAGAGTTGTCCAAAATGTGATTTTTCACGATGGAAGGTCGATCAACGCACCAATAAAATTAAAAAAGGTGTTCCTGCTAAAGTGCTAAGATATTTTCCTATAATCCCAAGGTTTAGGAGGATGTTTAGGTCATCACAAATGGCTGAAGATTTAAGGTGGCATTCTACTCATAAAAGTGAAAATAGCAAGATGCGACACCCAGTTGATTCTTGCTCATGGGACTTGGTAAATAATAAGTGGCCACTCTTTTCATCAGATCCTCGCAATCTGAGACTAGGTCTAGCGGCTGATGGTTTCAATCCATTTCGTAATTTGAGTTCTACGTACAGTTGTTGGCCCGTGATGCTAGTTGCATATAACTTCCCACCATGGTTATGTATGAAAAGAGAAAATGTTATGTTGACATTATTGATTCCAGGAAAAAAGCAACCAGGTAATGACATTGATGTATATTTACAACCGCTTATAGAAGACCTGCAAGAGTTGTGGAATAATGGGGTGAATATTTATGATGCTTTCACAAAAACTGTTTTCAATTTGAGGGCAATTTTGTTATGGACAATAAATGACTTTCCAGCATATGGAAATCTCTCTGGGTGTACTACGAAGGGTAGAATAGCATGTCCTATATGTGGCAACAATACATACTCACAGTGGCTAAAATTTAGTAGGAAGTTTGCATACATGGGCCACAGGTGCTTCCTTCCACCATCTCACCCTTTTCGAAAGAAAAAAACTTGGTTTGATGGTAAGGAAGAAAAGAGAAGAAATCCAAAAATCATGACTGGCAACAACATTTGGGTTTCTATTAAAGACATGAAGAATGATTATGGAAAAAGTGGAAAGAAGAAGCGAAAGCGAGATAATGAACCTATTCAAACGTGGAAAAAGAGGTCAATTTTTTTTGAATTACCTTATTGGAAGGTAATTGTTATTGACTATTTTGATATATCTTATTTATTCATTTATTATTATTTTTTTTTGAGTTTTTGATAGTAGCAATTTTATAAGTGTTTTTATAATGATTTCTCAGGAACTTACATTACGTCATAACTTAGATGTAATGCATATAGAGAAAAATGTTTGAGAGAGCATCATTGGAACCTTGTTGGATATCAATGGAAAATCGAAGGATGGTCTCAATGCTCGTAAGGATTTACAAGAAATGGGAATACGACATGACTTGCATCCAGAAGACCATGGGAATAGAACATACCTCCCTGCAGCTGCACATACACTATCAAGGACTGAAAAGAAAATATTTTGCAAGAGGTTATTTGACCTAAAAATTCATCACTCAATGTTGATTGATGTTCCACCTGAAAGTTGGAACGACCTTCAAGAATCCACATCCATTAATCCAAAATTCTTGAATTGCGAGCTACTTGATTAATCTACATAACGTTGTTCTTCATATTTTTATTGCAAAATAACATGCACTCATCTGCAGATAGCATTCGGCGAGTACAAGCCTTCAGGTGGTTAGATTCGCTAAACATATCCTCTTTGAGTATCTTCATGATATCTTAAGAAAAATTGAACATCACATTAAAATGATACGTTCTTAACACATTAGTCATATTTAATAATCATGAAATAGGTGTTCACCTTTCAAAGGGATTACATCCACGGTATTGGACTGGTCACATATCGTGGCTTCGCGTCGTATCGTGATTGTTAAATGAATCAGATGTTCAAAGAATGAAGGTGGAAAGACCTTTCAAACATGCAATAAGGTTCAATGACTTGTTCTTCGAGGGCCACTATTGTTCTCTATCAAGGACTCGTTGACATATTCTGTTGAAGAATGAACATAACCGAGGTATGGCCATTTGTCTTGGTCCTTCGGCATTAATCTTTCAAAAGCTACAAGGCAACAATTGTTGCATCAGAAACAGTGACAATCTCTATTTTTTTTGTGGGAATTTGAGGCCTATAATCTTGGCATTTCCTCCATCGATATAACATTCCCAATTATTTGAGCTATTACCCATCAGGTAGTAAAC